GCGCGCAGGGTTCGTAAACGCGAAGAAAGTAACAAAGTTGCTAATTTCGCACCGGCCAAGATAAAAATTTACATAATGATAAAGAGCGCTAAATACCACAGAAGCGTGTTCAACAAACCTCTTTAAAATGCAAATACCATAACAGATAGCATCACCTAATTAGTGGATGGCCCAAAGTGCAGTGACAGATACGGTTCGAGCAAGTCGCTCGACGACTGCAATATTGTTTCTTTTTTAATACACATGTATTATAAGTTATAACAATTAATTATTCGTGTCAAAACAGCGGCTCAACGGACACATTTTTTTGCCAAAATTACATTTGTCGGTTGTATTCCTGTTTATTACACCATGACATGAACAAAAAATTCAACAACAACCGTTCTCATTCGCGTTTCGTTGTATAACTGACAGCAAAATTCGCTTCAAGTATCATACTCTAATCACCCGTACTCCGCCACTGTCCATCATTCGAACGCTTTATATTAATAAAAAAACACACTTGTTAGTATTTCGTCTGGGGTGCACAAGACACTCCAATAACTAAATATCGATAAAATTATATTGTCATCCGTGCGTTTATAGAAATTCAGATGGAGTTTTTTCACAAAAACTAAAATTTTAGTCAGTGTCTGGTGAAAAATTAATGCGAAAGTTTCGAGAAAACATACACTTTATTATTAGACTCACTTAAGCTTAAGTAGATAAAAATTCCAATTTGAGATAAATTATTCGTATTCTGATTTGAATTTTAAAATAAAAATAAAAATAAATATAATTCTCCATTTGTAGTTTATGAACCCGCGTTGAGTGTGAGTTTTACTAGGCATCCGGATTGATAGAAACCCGTCAAAATTGTATAACATTTTACAGTTTAACTTAATCGAATGCTCTGAAATATTTTAAGGTTGTTTGAAGCATTGTAAATCGTTAACCAAAATTTATCTACTGATCGCCCATCCCCCCATCCCCGCCGCCACCGAAATATATGCAATTTTGCTGTTTAAAAGTTCAAAAGTCCTGAACTTGCGGTTTATGAATTCGTGTTGAATTTTATGCTAGACATCAAAATTATTTCGATTTCTAGATTTCTTTATTTTGCTATTTATTATTTTCCGATATTTCCGTTTTACGACTTTTCAATTTTTTCTCGATTTTTCAGGTTTTCGATTATTAAATTTTTTGGTTTTTCGTTTCATTTTTTCAATTTTTACAGTGTTTCAATGTCTCAATTTTTCTATTTTTGCAAATTTTTAAATTTTATATTTTTCAACTGTTTCGATTTTGCAGTTTCTCGGTTCCAGATTTTTCGGCTTCGATTTTCAAAATTTTTCTATGTACTTTCAATTTATCGATTCTTCAATTTCTTGATTTTTCAAGTTTTCGATTTCTCAGTTTCTCAACATTTCAATTTTGTGAATTTTTCCAATTTCTGGATTATTCAATTTTTCGATTTTTTTAATTTTAGATTTTTCGATCTTCCAATTTTCGATGTTTCGACTTTTCAATTTTTCGACTTCCCAATTTTTGATACCTTAGTTTTCGATTTTTAAATTTTTTCAATCTTTCAATTGCTTGATTTTTCAAGTTTTCGATTTTTTTAATTCTAAATTTTTCGATTTTTTTTGATATTCCGACTTTTCAATTTTTCCACTTTTCGGTTTTCGATTTTTAAAATTTTTCAATTTTCAATTTCTTGATTTTTCAAATTTTCGATTTCTCAGTTTTTCAACATTTCAATTTTGTGAATTTTTCCAATTTCTGGATTATTTAAATTTTCGATTTTTCTAATTCTAGATTTTTCGATTTTTTTGTTGTTTTGATTGCCCGATTTTTCGGCTTTTCGGATTTCGATATTTCAGTTTTTCAATTTTTTCGATTTTTTGATGTTTTGATTTTTCGGTTTTCTAATATTTCGATTTCTAAAATTTTTAATTTCTCGATTGTTTAATTTTTTGATTATCGATTTTTTTATTGTAAATTTCCCAATTTTTCTTTTTTGCGACTTCATGTTATTTCGATTTTTCGGTTTTTCGATTTGTCGATTTATCAATTTTTCGACACATCAGGTTTTCGATTATTAAATTTTTTGGTTTTTTCGTTTCATTTTTCCAATTTTTACAGTTTTTCGATGTTTCTATTTTTCTATTTTTGCAAATTTTTTAATTGTAGATTTTTCAACTGTTTGATGTTTCGATTTTGCAGATTCTCGGTTCCAGATTTTTCAATATTTCGATTTCTGAAATTTTAAATTTTTCGATTTTTTCAATTTCTGGATTTATTGAAATCTCGATGTTTTTAGATCTTCCAGTTTTCGATGTTTCCACTTTTCAGTTTTTCGACTTCCCAATTTTTCGACATTTCGGTTTTCGATTTTTAAAATTTTTCTATGTATTCAATTCTTGGTTTTTCAAGTTTTCGATTTCTCAAATTCTCAACATTTCACTTTTGTGAATTTTTCCCATTTCTGGATTATTAAATTTTTCGATTTTTTTAATTCTAGATTTTTCGATTTTTTCAATTTCTGGATTTATCGTAATTTCGATGTTTTTCGATCCTCCAATTTTCGATGTTTCGACTTTTCAATTTTTCGGCACCTCGGTTTTCAATTTTAAAAATTTTTCAATCTTTCAATTTCTTGATTTTTCAGGTTTTCGATTTTTTTGATTCAAGATTTTTCGATTTTTTCAATTCCTGAATTTATCGAAATTTCGATGTTTTTAGATGTTCCAATTTTCGATATTCCAACTTTTCAATCTCGGTTTTCGATTTTTAAAATTTTTCAATTTTCAATTTCTCGATTATTCAATTTCTTAATTTTTCAAGTTTTCGCTTTCTCAGTTTTTCAACATTTCAACTTTGTGAATTTTTCCAATTTTTGGATTATTCAAATTTTCGATTTTTCTAATTCTAAATTCTTTGCTTTTTTTGTTGTTTTGATTACTCGATTTTTCGACTTTTCGGATTTCGATATTTCGGTTTTTCAATTTTTCGATTTTTTGACGTTTTGATTTCTCGATTTTTTCAATTCCTGGATTTATCGAAATTTCGACGTTTTTAGATGTTCCAATTTTCGATGTTCCGACTTTTCAATTTTTCCACATCTCGGTTTTCAATTTTCAATTTCTCGATTATTCAATTTTTTGATTTTTCAAGTTTTCGATTTCTCAGTTTTTCAACATTTCAATTTTTCCAATTCTAGACTTTTCGATTTTTTTGTTGTTTTGATTGCCCGATTTTTCGGCTTTTCAGATTTCGATATTTCGGTTTTTCAATCGTTCGATTTTTTGATGTTTTGATTTTTCGATTTTTTAAATTTTAGATTTTTCAATTTTTCGATTTCTCAATTTCTCAATTTTTCTATTTTTCTATTTTACAATTTTGCGAATTTTTAAACTTAAGATTTTTAAATTTTTTGATGTTTGAATTTCTCGATATTTCGATTTTTCGACTTCTCGGTTCCACATCTTTCGGTTTTTCAATATTTCGATTTCTAAACTTTTTAATTTCTCGATTGTTTAATTTTTCGATTTTTTAATTTTTGATTATCAATTTTTTTATTCTAAATTTCCCAGTTTTCCTTTTTTGCGAATTCATTTTATTTCAATTTTTCGGTTTTTCGACTTCTCGACTTTTCGATTTCTTCATTTCTCGGTGTTTCGATTTCCCGATTTCTAGTTTTTTTGGATTTTCCGGCTTTTCGATTTATCGATTTCCTAATTTTTCGGTTCTAGCTGTTTTTTAATAGTTTTTAATTTTTAATACTTTAATTTTTCAACATCTCGGTTTTCGATTTAGTATAAAATTTTTCGATTTTTCAAGTTTTCGATTTCTCTATTCAACATTTCAATTTTGGGAATATTTCCAATTTCTGGATTATTCAATTTTTCGGTTTTTCAATTTTTCGATTTTTTGGTACATATTATGGTTTCCCGTTTTTTTTAATTTTACGTTTCTGCGGTTTCTCGATAAATATTTTAATTTTCGATTTTTCAATTTTAGATATTTTAATTTTTAATGTTTCTTTTGATTGTTTAGTTTATCGATTTATTTTTTTTTATTTTAAAATTCTCAATTTTTCTATTTTTTGAATTTGTCATTTCGATTTTTCGACTTCTCGACTTCTCGACTTTTCCATTTCTTGATTCTCGGTGTTTCAATTTTCCGCTTTATAGTTTTTTCGATTTTTCTATTTTACGATTTAGCTGTTTTTTAATATTTTAAGCTTCAATTTTTCGACATTTCTTTAATTCAATTTCTCAATTTTTTCCGGTTTTCAATTTTTCGATATTTAAATGTTTCGATTTATTCAATTTTTAAAAATTTTTATTGATATTCCGATGTTCCAATTTCTCAGTACTTGTTTTGTTTTTTAAATAGTTTGAAAGAATTTCAGGGGTTTTTCTGTATATTGTTTTTGAAGCAGTTTGTGTCTTGTTATTGTAGTAATTCGAATGAATCTCGGGGACCCTTTGTGTTTTGTTTTTGAAGTAATTTGAAAGAATCTCGGGGACCTTTTTTTTTTTTGAAGTAGTTTGAAAGCTTCTCGGGGACACGGAATATCATTTTCTGTCACCGCTGCAAGCACAGAAAATGGGTCTAGCCTCAATTTTATCCTTTTTCCACACAAGCGCTTATGAGTACATTACGGACAGCCTACATATTAAACGGCATCAGTTTTGCTTGGTTTAATTATGGGCACAGTGAATACCCATGTACCAAGAGAAGAAGAATAATAATAATTTTTCGAATTTATTTTTAAATATTAGCAAAAAATTAATTTTATTGACCATAAATGTATAGGCGAGAAATAATAAAGCTAAATACAGCTCAAGTGACTCTTGGAAAATGAAAATGTTCCAGTCAACATTCCAGCCAGGACACGTATGTCAATTTCGACACGTGCAGTGTAATACTAACAGTGTACCGTCGTCATCCAGAAGGCTCCTGTCGTCACGCAATCAAAAACCCAACCCTTGACACACGGACTTCACCAGTGACAAAAATGTCAGAAAGTAATGTCAACTAAGTGGACGGTCAAAAATCAAAATTCAAGACCTTCTTCTGGGTACGTTATCGACATTCGTCAACTTGCAATAAATTCCCTTTTTGCAGCAATCGCGAAGATGTGGCCAAACCTTCCGATCCCGGCTCCTTAATCCACACCATCGAAAACGAAATCAAAGAAAACTTGGACATAATCTTGCCCACGTACCTAAAAAACGTCTTAGTTTACACCGGTTTTGATTCTTCGGCTGCGCTCAGCGAACTGACGGTGGCCGATTTTAGCTTAATAGAAGACTTCGTCCGAAACGAGCTTCAAGACATCCTGTCGCTCGAACGCAACGTGCAATACGACGATTTTTATGGAATTTACAGCAGCAGCAAAAGCAACTTCAAAATTTTGCCAGGACACAAGAAGCTGTTGATGGAAGTGCAAAAATTCTACAAAGGGAGAAAAATGGAAGCTAAATATAAATCCGCTTCCGAACAACTGGCGGGAGCTGGCGGAAAACAAGACGATGCTAAAGACGATATGAGTGGTTGTTTGGGTTTTCTGGACGAAGACAAGCAGTCACCGGGACCGGGACAGACGCAGAAGAAGCGGAAGAGGTGCAAGAGGAAGACGGATACAAATTCAGATGCGAGTGACGGTGTGGATTTTAACCAAGAGGTGATGATCGACGGGGTGAAAAGGAGGCGGTTGGACGAAGCGACGCAGAGAGCTGACGGTTTGAGTCGGGCTTTGGTGGTGTTCGGAGACGACTCCAGAACGCAGTTGTTGTCGCCGTCGCCGTCTGAATCCAGGGAAACCGTGCCTCTGCACCACGACTCCGAAGAAAAGGGGTTTCTGTCGATTCTAAATTCAGGCTTGAGACTCTCGAATATCATTTAGACAACAACTAAGTGATAGGATTAGAAAAGTAAGAGCAACGATAGTCAGTAGATCGTCACTCGTTTGGAAGACAAGTTTTGTGTACTTATTGTTTTTTTTTTAAACACACATTTACATTCACACACGCTACGAAATAAAAATATTAAATTCGGAGTTTTCCTGATTTCCCTGGCGGTTGAGAGTTTGGACCGGAAAGGAAAAAACGCGCTTTCTAATTAATGGAGGTCTGGCGCGTCGAATTTTTCCCATAAATTCAATTAAATCCTCCGTGTGATGCGCAAGACGAGATCATTAGTACCCAGGTGAATTAATGGACGGTTTTTAGTGCCGACACTCGTTCTTAAATTCCGTATTACTCGTCAGGCGAGAGTTGTAAGAACTCAAGACTAAGTGGGGTAATTTATCTTACATATGAATCCGGTTGATTAAACCCACGGCTGCCACCATATTTCTCATATCTCCTGAGAATCCTTATTCAATTATCCGAGACAGTTTCAATTATTAAGGTTAGGCGAGTAATTCGACGGGACGTTTTTCTTCAGACGAAATATCGCTCCTATTTATTCTCGCAACGGTACTCTTCTTCAACCCACTAAAGTTTTATTGCCCGTGAAGTTACCTGTTGTGCATTAAGGGGACTCGCTAGACGAGGTATAACATTTTTTTGGTTTTTTGTATGAAAAAATCATATTAATATAGATGTGTCATACATCAAACTGCAACTTTTTTCATATTCCAGGGAGCAGAGACCAGTTCAATCAACTAAAAAAATATGGCTGAGAAATATCGTAAAAAAGCACCATTTTATGTTTTCTTTTCAAGTTTTTTGAGTCACAACCATCAGAAAATCGTTTGAAAATTCGCACATGGATAAAACATCACTTTTTACAGGGCGCAGAATCATTAAATGTTTGTTAGTGGTACAATTTGTTTAAATAATAATGTGTTTATTAAAATCAAAATATACCACAAATTAATGCAAAATACGTCGAATAATTTTAACAGGAATATCAGAGGAAAATTAATGATCTATTGGTTAGCAGAGTTTTTAACCAAAACTAACAGTTATTGAAAAAAATGGGTATCAATTCGACAGAATTTGAGCAGTTAGTTCAGTACTTTGCCGATAGGAGCGCCACTAAAATTTACGGAAGCGACTTTCAAGTAAGTAAAACCCTTATCGCCTGCTTTACCATAAGCTGATTGTTAGAGTTCTCGGCTGATTTTTCTAATTTATGGCAAGGGACTCGGCTTTATAACAAGCCGCCAGGACCGGCCGTAGTAATCTATTGTTAAGAAAATTAACTTTTACGCAATGAGGTCCTATCATAAAACCGTATTAAAACTGGGGAACTATAATATTTTTACTCCACTCTGGATCCTGAATTCAATACACATGATTACTAAAAATTCATTGTAATATTATTGTTAATATATATTTTGCTTGCTTAATTCATAAAACTAATAAACATATTTATAATAATAATAAAAATATATAAAATACAGCTTTTGTTTAACACGTACAAGTGTATCTACTACTTATCCCAGAAAGGAGGTGTTTTAAAAAAGCCCTACGCCCAGTAGCTTCTCCCTTCATTGTTTGCTCGAAAAAAGTGCTCGTATATGTTTTCATTTGCCGAGAGGATCATTTTCAAAATATCTTTATAATAAAAATATGCAAGCCTTGGTGATGAAAAATGTACTCCTAATAAATTATTAAAGTACATAAAAAAATAGAAACAAATTTTATTTATTTTAAAAAAATCTCTCGCAAAGGCAGGTTCCTCTTTCTTCTTGAATCAATTATTTCGGGCAATAATGCGCCAAAGCAAAATCTGCCAAGTTTATCTGCCATCTTTTTACATATATTTCTTCGTCTTTATAAATTTTTTCTATATTTATTCCATTGGGTGTCCATACAACAAAATAAACTTGTGAAATACCCGTAACAAGCATTTGTCCCTGGACTTGAAAGTAGTAATCATGATTTTTTTTTAGTTTCAATTCTCTGTCTGTCAATGTACAAAATTTGATTACTTCTTTTCTAACCGCTTCTTCGGGAGACAAATCTTGCGATTTTGAAGGGCATTTAATTTCGACTAATGCACTCCTATCCTCTAGAACCCTGTCTGGACTAGCAGCCAAGTAAGGAAATTGTTTTGAAATAAACAAGCCACACCGTTCAGTTGATATATTTTTATTTATTTCAAAACACTTGACAGCTTTTTCCTCACTTTGCTTTGGGGGGGGGGGGGGGGGGGGGGGCAATTTTTGTGTGACTTTACCTATCCACCAGAAATGAAATTCGTTCTAAACAAAAAAATTTATAAAATTTTAGCTAGTATACTCTTTTTCACAAAACATGGGTGACATTTGGTTCTTTTCATTACACGTATAGTGTACAGTAGAACCTCGATAATTCTAATTCCTAATTGGGAAAAAGGTGTGTTCGGATTAACGATTTGTTCGGATCAACAATGTTCCCAAAAATCTGAACGGAAATTGAATAACAACTTCATACACAACTGAAAACAAACTTCAAGAAACAAACCTGAGTTTTATTAAACAAAAATTAAAGAATTCTTAAGCAACAATGGGTAATAGATACATTCTAAAAAAATATTACTCCGCCACCATAAACACGCTATCTTTTTGGAATAAACACCCCAGAATCTATACCCTGAAATTTTTCAGAATTTTTAGATGAATTTTTCAAAAATGAAATTTTCCATTATGTATTCGTATTACCTCCATTATGCAAATTTCGACCCTTTCTCGACGATTTTCGAAATTTAACTAAATATATTTTCTTGTAGATTTTGGACTTCAGAAGTCACTTCTGGCTTCATTTCTTCAATAACTTAAACCATTTTTCCAGTATCGTCCAGTTGAAATATCGCCATTTTTAAAAATTTCGAAAAATTCGAATTTCACAGCGAATTTTCCGAAAATATTGCTCCGTTACCATAAACATGGTATATTTTTGGAATCAGCACGTCGGGATATATATCCCTGAATTTTTTTAGAATTTTTTGGAAAATTTTTCAAAAATGAAGTTTTTCTCATGCAAATTTCGACCCATTTTCGACGATTCAAACCAAATACTTTCTCTTGTAGATTTCGGGTCTCCGATAACTTAATCCGTTTCTCCAGAATTAGTTAATTAATTCAGTGCTTTGAAATATCGCAATTTTTAAAAATTTTAAAATATTCCATACAACATATGCAGAAAGATCTTGTGTCATTTTTGGACGTAGATGCATGTTTTCAAGTTCAGTTCGGATTGAGTTTTTGTTTGGATTAAAGAGGCATCGACTTCAAGTAGCCTCTGTTCGGATTACTGGATGTTCAGATAATCGTGGGTTCGGATTATAGAGGTTGTACTGTATTTACAACATGAAATATGATTTCAAAATTTTGAAATTGGTCAAAATAAAGTACCTCGCTCGCAATTGCACCCATTGCCCCCCCTGGATCCGCGCCTGAGTCGGTCTAAGTTTGTAAATACGTCCAAAATTTGAAGCCGTAACCCTAATTTCTCTTTCTTTTGCCCAAATGTGCCTGTTGCCTAGTGTCTATTTAAATTTGGTCTAAATTCAAAGATAATTTTCTCAAAAAAACCTCTTTGGCTGTCACAAATGTTTCTACATCCATGACAGGATTTTCTAAAAAATATTTAAACTATAATCGCAGCCGGGACCAGCATACGTAAATTTTTTTACGACATATTTTTTTACGAATACTTTGTCTAAGACGAGCTTGTTTTATAGGCGAACAATATTTTTTGTTATTAAACCAGGACCGTTTTAATCACAATATATTTACTTATCCCCTCTAAAAAATTGATAACGTCACCTCAAAATTTTGCTGAATAAATCCTATCTAAATTGTATAAAATATGATGAGTCTCTTCTTGTGATTTACCATTCCATTCATGTTTTTTGGATTTGCATATACAGGATGACCCCAAAAATTAATGAATGCGTAGATTTATTTTATTGATTTAATCAGGAACTACAGAACCCAATGCTTTGAAATCTTGCAAATGTTTTAAGGTTATAAAGAGCATAATAAATTTTTAGTCCAAATATATTTGCTTATCCCCTCCAAAAAATTGATGACGTCAGCTCAAAAGTTTGCCATATAATCCTATTTAAAATTTGCAAAATATGATGTGTCTCTTCTTGTAATTTATCATTCCATTCATATTTTTTGGATTCGGATATACAGGGTGACTCAAAAAATTTAATGAATGCGCAAATTTATTTTATTGATTTAATCAGGAACTACAAAACCAAATGCTTTGAAATCTAATGTGAAAAAAAAAAAAACATAATATGTATGCAGTCGTCACGTTTCCGATAGCGAGGGAAGTACTGCCTAAACTTTTTTCCATTTCTCAATTTTTCAATGTTTCAGTTTGGGATTTTTTCACTGTTTCGATTCTTTAATTTTCCTTCCATTTTTAGGTTTTTCAATATTTCAGCTTTGGAATTTTGCAATATTTCGTTTCTTCAATTTTTCAAATTTTTGATATTGTGTTTTCTCGGTTTTTAAATTTTTCGATATTTTAATTTTTCAGTTTTTAAAGTTTTAGGCTTTTAGATTTCTCACTATCTGGGCTTTTCGATTTTTCAGTTCCATGATTTTTCAATTTGCCGAATTTTTAAATTTTAGATTTTTTGTTCTCGATCATTCAATTTTCTGAGTTTTCAGGCTTAGATTTTTTTGTTGTTCAATTCTTGGATTTTTAAAATTTTTGTTTTTTAAATTTTCCTATTTATCAACTTACTGGGATTTCAATGTTTTGATTTTTTGATTGTTCAATTTCTCGATTTTTTGAACTTTCAGTTTTTGATGCGACTTTTTTTTTTCAAAAATTTTCAGTTTTTCAGTTTATTAACTTCACGATATTTCAGTTTTACGATTTTAAATTTTTTTTATTTTTCAGTTTTTAATTTTTGACGTTCCTAAATTTTTCGATTTTTCAATTTTTCGATTAACTGATTTTTTGATTTTCTAATTTCTCTATTTCTTGATTTTTCAATTCTTTCTTCAATTGTGATTTTTCAATTTTACGATTTCTGGATTTTTCAGTGTTTCAGTTTTGGATTTTTTTACTTT